CTGGAGATTGTCATAACAGTGCTCCCCCTAGTCCCGCATCACCGGTCAGTTCTCCAGGTGCCACTTTTTCAGAATCAAATTATTTTATTAGTCATGCACAGCAAGCAGCAGCTTTGCAGCAACACTTTGAACAATTTACGATGGTGAGATGAAATTACTTTTATTTTTTTTTTTTTTTTTGTGTTCGATCTTTCATCAACTTTCCTCGGTTATTCACCCGAAATTATTGTTGTAAAAAATTTTGATTTTTAATAGACCAAAATTTGATAAAATTTTTTTTTTTTTTTTTGTCAAATAGGATTCGTTAAATTAACGAATATTTGCCCCCCCTTTTTTTTTTAATCTTTACTTCTCGAAAAATAATAATAATAATAGTAATAATAATAATTTTTGGAACGTTTTTTTGTTATGCTATTCGAAATTAAAGGGAGTGGTAAGTAGTACTCGTAATATTTTTACGTAGTAAAATTTTTATTTATAATTTTTTGAGAGAAATCTCCCCAAAACGTAAACCTTAATTTTATTCATTCATTAACGTTTTATTATTATTATTATTATTATTATGATATTATAAGGTGGAAACCTCCCCCCCCCAAATAATAAATTTTTTTGTTTACATACTAATCATTATTTGCTTTAAAAAAAAAAAAAAAAAAATCTCACACGATTTAAGGTCGATAAAAAAGGCTTTCATTTTTTTTTTTTTTCTCTTTATTTATTTTAAATTAATTTCAGCTTTTTCTTATTTTATTTATTATTATTATTATTATTATTATTTCTTTTTCTTTTTCTTTTTGCATGAATCGAATCAATCAATCAATCAATCAACAATTCAAGCTTTTTTTTTTTTTTAAATCAAATAAACGCTTTAAAAAAAAATTACCTTTTTTTGTTTTGATTAATTTTGTTTTTTTTTTTTTTTTTATACATTTTCTAAACCTTTCGCCACGTGTTTTTACGGCCTAATACATTGTAATAAAAATAATAATAATAATTTTTCTCTAATACCTACCTACCTACCCCCCCCCCTTGCGATTTGTTTCCTTCACTCACTCATAAATTAAATAAAAAATTAAAAAAAAGAAATTGTAGGTTTGCTTTTTGCTATGAATTTATTTCCTAACAATAATAAGTATTATTATTATTATTATTATTACTGTAAAATAATATTGATTGATTGTAAGTTATCATTATCATCATCAGATAATGTCTTTATGTATCACATATGTGAGAGATAATAAAAAATTGAAAAAAAAAAAAAAAAAAAAAAAAATTTTTTATTATGATTAATAATATTATTATTATTATTATTTAATTATTATAAATAAGTATATATATATT